TATATACTTTTATCCTAAAATTATGCTGTGATTAACAAGTATTTAACTTTTATAAGGTAGTTCACTTTTTGTACTTTTCGAACAAAACATATTCACTTCTTGTGCACCACTTCTAACTTTATTTGTATAAAATTAGCAGAAAAACCTAAATCAAACTCTGACCTTTATTGGATTAAATTGGGGCTATTTTGCATTGTAACTCTTTATTCCTCAAGTTATCCTGTTTAATTACGTTTGAGTTTATTTATTCCCGTTTTGTGTTTCATACCACCTTTGTGCGTGTGTTTTTCCAGTATTTTGCTTAAATATAAAGAAGTCACTCCTTCTTGAAGATAAACAATAACACAAACAACGTTTCCGGTTCGTTTGCGACTTGACGCTGCTCCTGAGAAGATGTTTTATGGGATTAGCCGTTAGCTGTGCGGCTGACTAGCTTGGTACGTTAGTGTTGCTTGTCAAAGTATAACTATACATCAGAAACACCAAATTCCATTATAGATAAAAGTTAACAGATATGTAGCCAAAGTGTGACACTACACACGGCGCATAGGTTGAATTACCGCTGTCTTGTGCTAAGTTAGCTAACGTAATTGAACGTGAAATTTAGTCGTTATTGTTTGCTACACGTGATGAATGTATCATTAAACAGCAGTGGTTCGGGAATATATACAGGTTTGACCGGATATTTAAGTTATATGAACGTACAAGGAAAAGAATTTTAAATTTCCAGATCCTCAACGTGGTTCAGCGAGGCTTTCTCCAAATACTTTAAAACCTGTTCGAGGCCTTATAGTTCTACTCCTGCCCACAGATAGTGTGGGGAAAATAGTTCAGCAATGAATTTTTAACAACCTAAATTTTAAATATACCTTTGTTGTACTATAGCATAACTAAACTGTATTGACATTTCACGGATTTGCTACAGGTTTAATTATTCCACTCCGTGTCTCCTTTTAATGGTACAAAAGAACGACGCTTTACAACAAAGGTTAAATGTCGGTGCCGGTATTGTGCATACAGCGCTATTGGAATCAACATTTAATTGTGCGCTTTTAAGTTGAAGGAGGCTTTTCCGGTTTCCTCGTCGTCAGCTCAGTAGATTCACCCTGTTTGTGGAACAGGACCGACAGCACCACTGCGGCGTTTCTGAGCAGCACCTCATCGAGACACTTCTCACCTTTCACGCTCGTTTTCCTCAACGACTCCTCTCCTCTACCGATTTATATTTTTAATGAATATCTCCTGGGATTTACACAGAAAGATAATTACTAAATGACAGCCTCTTTCGCCTACAGGGTGGACAGCTGGTGCAGTGAGGAGGAGGGGATGCCCTTGACTTGGGGAGGAGGTGTTAGAAGGGGAAGGAGGCACCATCATGTAGTGTACCTAAAGAAGTGACATTGTAAGACTCTGATCTTCTTTGGCAGTGGTGTTGGGGATGTGGCGCATGCTCTGTAAATTCATTTCATCCCTGCCAGTTGAGGAGCAGCAGCATCCAGCTGAGAGAAGCCATCGGGTGGGAATGTTGTGCATCTGCAGGGAGCCCTTGCCCCAGAGCTCCGCTGGCCAAGCCATGGAGGCCTGAGCAGTCTCCTCCTCCGGATCTAGATGGTGGCAGAAAGCAAGTGTGCATGACAAGATAAACAAACTCAGAGACTGTCCCGCCTGCACTGCAGATAAGCAGGAGCTGTGAGTCTGCTTTCCTTTTGATTATCACTGTTGGGTTTTTGGGCCTCTTTGGATGCCTCAGACTCTTATTTGTGGGAGTAGATGATCCTATTAATAATAAATGCAATGGGCAGCAGCCCCTGAACTGTAAATGTGGGCTTTGAACTGGGCTGGATTATTTTTCTAACCCATAAGGAAAGGTGGATTTGACCGAAGATAATGGCTGAGTGCGAGGAAGTGGAGTTGTCCAAGTCGCTGCAGAAAGAGGATAGGTTGTCCACTGAGCTGGAGGAGCCAAGTACGGGCTTTAAATCTAAAAGTTTGCCTATTTTACATGAAGCAGCGCCTCAAGAGGAGTCCTTATTGGCTAGCTCTGTGCAGATGTCCATAATGGCAGAAGAGAGTGCAGAATTTATCCAGCTCCCAGCTAAGACTGAGTCATTCCAGGCAGAGTCCCAGACAAGAACAAACTACCCCCCCAAGCCGGATAAGTCGGCGCTGAACAGGCCAAGCTCATACATGGAGAACACGGAGATCCGTAGGAGTAAAATCATGGTGAGGAGGAAGCCCCCAGGGTTTTTTGCTTACAGGCTAGGTCAGATTCATCTGCCCAGTAGGAAGTATCTCAGTGTTATCTTACAGGACTCACGCTGCTTCCTGTTCTGCATGTGCTATCTGACGTTCATCCAGTCGCTCATGGTGTCGGGCTACCTCAGCAGCGTCATCACCACCATAGAGAAGAGGTACAGCCTGAGAAGTTCAGAATCAGGCCTGCTCGTCAGCTGCTTTGACATAGGGAGCCTCCTGGTGGTGGTCTTCATCAGCTACTTTGGTGGGCGGGGCCAGAGACCTCGCTGGTTGGCGGTCGGTGGGGTTTTCATTGCTGTGGGTGCTGCCCTCTTCTCCTTACCTCACTTCATCTCCCCGGCCTACCAGATCCAGGAGGTCAACTCATCCTCAGCCAACCAGGGCCTGTGCATGAACAGCAACGCTAGCGGACGGGACCGCATAGACATCACTTCCTGTCCCAGAGACCAGGAGGACAACGAACACAACCTGTACGTGGCGCTGTTCATCATTGCTCAGATCCTAGTGGGCATGGGATCCACACCCATCTACACACTGGGACCCACCTACCTGGATGACAATGTCAAGAAGGAGAACGCCTCGCTGTATCTAGGTAAGAGCTTGTGTGATCATTAACCATCTCAAACAATATGGAACATATTTAATATAATTTCTCTGAGGTCCAGTATACGGTACCATGGTCCAGGTGTCCATGATGATCGGCCATATTGTATAGACTCTGACCTCTGACTTTTGAGGGTAAAGCAATAATGTAGTAGAAATGTTTGTTTAAACCATAACATACATGACACAAACCTGATATATATCTGAATTCACTCCCTCATTTACATCTGCCACTCGCAGCCAAGCTATGATAAGTTTAGGTGTGAGTGACACATGTTAAATGCTAACTATACTGTGCCAAACATGAGGTGTGCTTTCCCCTATTTTAGTGAAAGTATGACCATTCAGAGCAGGTCTGGTTTCATAACAGAAAGCTGACATAATTGCTGTTTCTGTCCAGGCAACAGTTCAGAACCCAAACTGAACATGAAACTTTATGATCAAAGATTATAGTGAATTTAAGCATATGACAACAGGAGATTATGAATCGTAAACTTCACTGGAAATTGACAAAAAGATTTAATTTCTGTTTGCACAATTGCCAATTATGCCAATACTGATGTGCTACATGGCCAGAAGTATGTGGACATTTGAATATTATACCCTTACGTGATTGTTGTTTCAAAATCATGGGCATTCATGTGCTGCTCCAACAGTTCCCAGTATTATGGGAAACTTTTCTGCCAGATTTTGGAACCTGGCTGCAGGGATTTGCTCCCATTCATCCACAGGAGCATTAATGAGGTCCAACACTGATGTTGGATAATGAGGCTTGGCTCCCAGCCCGCAGTGGATGAAGCTGGGGTCAGGGTTCTGTGCAGGACAGTCAAGTTCTTCACACCAAACTGGGAAAGCCATATTATATTATAGTGAAGCATGTTTTCCCAAAACTGTTGCCTCAAAATTGGAAGCACACTATTGCCTAAAACATTGTTTGTGGCCTAAAGATATGCTGGTCAGCAGCTGTAGACAGTGCGTGACTGTTTGGCAGCTGGGTGTGTTTCACATCACCTTACATGTGAAGTTACCGAGCAGCTGGTGCTGTGCTCAGAGGCACATCAGCATAAATGTTGACAAACAGGTCCAGAAAGTTCTGTGGCCCAGTCAACTCTGTGACCTTCAAAACCGCTCCCCGTCTTTCCCCCCCCCACATGCTTCCCCTGAAGTTCTCGCCCCAGTAGTCCCAATCAGGATAAAGCCTAATTAAACCAACAAATGGGAGCTGTGTTATGAAAGAGAGTAGGGGAGATGGAGTAAAGAGGATAAGTTCTTATGTACATTCAAGTTGTCCGGGGGTTGGTAGAAGCCCCATAGACATGGTCCGGTCCCTTTTTTCTTCTTTTAAAAGCAAGTAGAGCAGTAAAAAGAGAGGCTGTGATTAGTGGAGCAGCCAGCTGGTAATACAGCGTCACCTGCAAGGAGTCTGCACTGTGTACTGGGCTGTTGCAATGCAGACACACACAAAAAAAGTAGGAAGAAGTTTAGAAATGTGCCCCTTTTAGTAGCAATTTGCAAAATCCTCAACCATATAAGTCTTAATTATAAAATAAAGCCTCCCTCTGTACAGAATATTGCATTGTCAAAATAGAAGGAAAAAGCTAGAGGTGGAATAGTGCTGGAAAGTGCAGTTTAAGAACGTTAAGTAACCACATTGGTAAAACTGCTTCCAGCCACCTGCCAAATGCTGTTTGAATGTTGGCTGTGGATCAGTGAAGCAGCCAGTCAGTGGAACAGGGTTACCTGCAGGGCTCCAGCACAATATGGAAGAGTGTGAAAAATGAAGTTGGGAAAAAGCTTAAATAATCATGAGGAAGTTTGTCAAAAATTGTAGCAGTGCATGTGTTGTCTGACATTTAAAGAGGCACTCCGCCGATTTTACACACCAAGGTCAGCGTACTTGTCATGGTTGGTGTGACTCAGCCTGTAGAAAACAGCTGTATGACATGTCTGTGTCTCTGCGGCAGCTGAGAAGCTAACCCACATGATGTCATTCTGATGCCGCCAGGGTTATCTTGATGAGGGCTTGGAGAGTATTACAAACTGGGGGAATCGGCTAGAATGGTGCCTGTGCTTTATCAGGAAGGACAGGTCTAATGACAAGATGCAGCTGAACTGCTTTAATCAAAGTGCACCGGTGTTTGTAGAGCTTCACCTATTCAAAGGAACAAAGTCTGATATCTTGCTAATGCTGCTTCAGTTTTCATAGTTTGTTGTCTTTAGTCTCCACCTTTATGAAAGGACATCATTATTAAATCACTGAAGGCAACCCTGTTAATTTTCCAGTACTGTTGCAGTCACAGTGACCTTGTCTCATTGAACCTCTCTGATAGATTTAACATTGTTTTTGCATATCTTGTATATGCAGTACTGTACATCTGTCTGTAACTGATTCACATCCAGCTACTTTTAGCAAATAGACAAGCACAAGCCGCTAGTGCTGAAACAGTCACTCAGTTTATCAGCAACTTTGAGAATATATTTACTGTGAAGTCAGTTCCTGCTTCTCAAATGTGAGGATTTAGCGTTTTGTTGTGTATCAAATCATTGTAAAATCTGTGTCTTTGGATCATCAGTCAGATAAAACAAGCAATTTGAGGATGTTGTCTTAAGCATCGGGAAACTGAAAGGGCAGCTTACACTTTTTTTGACATTTAATTGATAAGTTATGATAAAATTAGATTGAGGTAACAAAAATAATAGTTAGATGTGACCTTTCTTCTTTTATAATTTTCCTGCACTAGAAATGTATCATTCAACACATGAAGAGGTTTGTTTAAAATTAAATTACCTAGTCAGGCTGTTCGAATTTGTCTGCTCTAGCAGCCACTTTGGCAAATAACCAGAAAGCGTTTGGCTGTCAAGACCCACTTGACCAGTAGACTTTGGTATTGTGCTGCTTTTGTGACTGCTGAATGAAAAGGTTTGTTTCCAGTTTACGGTCGGCAGCTGCAGGATGGTGCAGAGCAGAGGATCCCAGTCAACAGGAGCAGATTGTGTTTGGCTGCAGAGACATATCATGGTGCTCGATTGGTTTAATGGCAGTTGACAACTTGGCCCAGTTCAGCCCAGTATGCTGAAAAACACAAAGAAGAAAAGAGTTAAGAAAAAAGGAATGTGCATTCGGAAAATAAAAATAAAATACATGTACTGTAATACAGTATATAATTTAAGTACATTAATTTACTATTTCTATTTTTTATGGATGGAAACATGTCAACTGAGAAGCAACTGTGTTTTGGCAGTTGACTAACCTGCTCATGTGGCAGCATAAACAAAGAGTAACTGAGCTGAAAACCTTTGCAGTTAGTTTAAAATGTCTTTGAGGTGTCCTACAATGTCACACCTTGTCTTTGTAGATTTGACTTGAGTTGAGATCTGCAGTGTGTCTGGTGACCACAGACTGTGCACAGAGGGCTGACCCGACGCAGATAGGCCTCCCCTGCTGCTTAGGCTACTTAGGTTTTTATGTTAGCAGCAGAACATGAGATGAGCAGAGACAGGTGGTGTCT